GCCTACAGCCCCGACACCACAGCTCTCTGCCTACAGCCCCGACACCACAGCTCTCTGCCTACAGCCCCGACACCACAGCTCTCTGCCTACAGGCCTGACAGCAGCTCAGGGCGAACCCGCTCACTGGCCTCTGCCTGGCTTCCTCCACAGGGCAGTGCCTGTCTCGTTCCCCTCAAAGATGGCAGCCTCCTCTCCACAAAGACCTGCTACACGAATTGCCAATGTTTCCCCCGTTTGCATGTGACTTTTTGTCTTAAAGAAAAATTACAGTAGTAAAAGAGAAAATAAAATGATGCTTCCAAGCAACGGAGAAACCAGCCCAGGACAAGGTCAGGAATGTAGATATGAACTAAGAGACAAGAGCGGAACTGACTGGCGAGGGGCCACCTATCTCTGCTCCTAGGACACACAATTAAAACCCCAGGCTCCATTAAGGCCGAATGTAAAAGAACTGGAACCCAGAGCACGCGAAGGCTCACCGAATGAAGTCGGTGTGCAGATGGAAGGCGGCACAGCACACTGGAAGGCACGGAGTTTTATTATGGAAAACCTCACATCTGAAAGGTCCAGTTCAGTGGAAAGACACAACCACTTTGACTCAGGACACAGCAGAGTTGCAAATGCTAGTTCTTTTTTAAAGAGAAAACAGCAAGAACCAGGAGGGTGCCTCCCGGGCCACACTGTGCAGGAAAACACCACCTAAGGCAAGACCTGAGCATTGAGCCAGGGGAGGATCACAGAGCAAGTCAACCAGCCTCCCAGACAAGGTACAGGAGCACGCTCAGACTACAGCACAAACCACATGGAGGTAAGCAGAGCCGCAAAGACACGTCCCCTCCTGTAGACACACTTCTGTGATGCACAGGACTGAGGGATGCAGCTAACGCTGGGAGGGAGGGAAAGGTGTAGCCTTCAGTCCACATGCAAAGGAACAAACCAGATCATCCACCTCGGGGTGAGAAAGAACAGCACGATAAACAGCAAGGAAGAGGAAATGGCAAATGAGCAGAAACAGACGAAAGAAGCCAGAGAGACACCAGCGAGGACCCACAAGCCGAGGGCCACTGTAAACACAAATGGCATTGACAGACCTCTGGTGGGAGTGGCCAGAGGCCAACAGGCATCAGGGCCACCAGGGGAGGGAGAGGCGGCCGGCCATACAGAGCAGACAGCCCAGCAACAGGCTCATTTTCTAGAAAGAAATCCAACCTATGGAAGTGGCTCAAGAATCAACATCCAACAGCCGTGAGGGGAAAGGATCTAAGGCCGCCAAGACGCCCTGGAGTCCAGCCTCTACACCCAGGGACACTCTGGCTTGCCCCGCCTCCACGCAGCACCACCCACACCAAGACCCAAAGACCATTTCCACAGGGAACCAGCAGCACGCTCACCCTGCGCAGATGCCCCAGAGTGTGACCCACACGCCATGCGACCTTCASCAAGGACGCTGGTCGGAGAGTCCCTGGGGCCTCTCCTGGAGCAATGCTGTCAGAGTCTGGGTTTCAGAGACTAAAACTCAGCCAGAGCCCTGCAGCTCTCCAGGGCCACGCCTGTCCAGGGAAGGGACACCAGCGGCACCCAAACACTGACCTCAGTCGAGCTAAAGAGCAGAATGCCGACCTGACCAAGAGACCCTCGGTAAACACGGCTGTTGGGTTAAGCGACTCAGAGCCAGCAGGGCCTGTGGCTCCCTCCCCGCTCTGGCTCAGGGCTGACAGGTCCTAGTGCTCCTCCCGCGCTCCTCCCCCACCCCCGTCCCGTGTCCCACTCCCTGGCGTGGGCTTCCTCCTCGCTGGACCCTGCACAGCACAGATGTCATGTTCCCACTGTGACCTGAAGCCCAGRAGGCAGGTGTTTCCCTGACTCGTCAGTCTCACCCCACTCCAGAGGACAGCTCCTGAGACCCAGGACTTCTCCTTACCCTCCCCTGCYCACCTGAGACTTGCCAACGCTGGCACCAACCCTCAATGACCTGCTGTCCCTTCTGCAATGCCTCTGCACATGGAGGCCTCTCTCACAAACCTGGCTGGTGCCCACCCGTTGCAGCCATCCCCACACTCGAGGGCCCCCCACCCCAAGGARGACGGAGCACAGCCCCAGGCCAAGCCCTCCTGCCCGGTGTTCCCAAGGTCAGGCATGCTGGCTAACTCCCTGCTCTCACACAGGCACGTCTCAGGACAGAAGGAGCTCGGTGATCAAGGTCCCTGACAACCAAGGGCTGGCCCRGCTCTCCCAGCACCCCGCTGCCCTCTGGAAGCTCACCAGCGAGGGCGCTTGCTCTCTTCTCTCTAGACCCTAGAGGCTGGAGCTTGATTTCTTTCACCCAGAACCCGCCTCGCCTCCTTCCTCTACAGTCTTGGGGACCCTGGTGTGCCTGTTGTCTGTGGGCTCCTCCCCACCACCTTGGAAGTTCGTCCTAGGAAAGAAGAGACCGGAGAGCTYGCGGGAGGTGTCTTTATTCAGCAGGGCCCCTGCACAGGGAGCGGCGCCTACACTGTGCTCCTGAGGCTGAGGCACCCCGCGGTGCTGGGCGACAGGGTGCTGATGCTAATGACGATGCTGTTGGAACCGTAGGCCACAGTAGCCACATGTCCCGGTTTTCGTTTCTTTGTCCTGAAAAAAATTCAAAAGGAARATCTCATAGTGCACACTCCACTTCCACCACAGCCTGAGGAGCAGCACAGGACTGGAGATGCGTGTCAACCAGAAGCTCACTGAGGCCCAGGTGGGGGCTGAGCTGGGACAAGCAGGCCCTGGATCCTGGTTCACCCTGACCTGACCTGACCTGTGGGGCAGCGGGGGGCAGAGGATGGACCCCGCCTCAGGCCCTGCCTATGCAGCCGTCCCAAAGGATGGCCAGAGGAACTCCCGTGCCCCCAACAGCTGTAGCTGGCTGCGACCCACCTGCTCTCTGAGCCCGAGGACCAGGACGCCCCAACCTCAGCCCACGGGCCGGGCTCCAGGAATGTCACCTGGACACAAGGTGACAGCATCCTGTTCTAGGCTGCTGACACCTTGCGCTGCTACACTGCCCTTTACCCTGACAAGCACCCAAGATGAATGTCAGCTTCCAGTAAAGGCCACTTCCAAAGGCGACAGGCCACCACCAGGACACCAGCTGGTGAAACAAGAGCCTCACCCGCCCCGTCACAGGGCCTGCAGTCTCCTCCCCTCCAGCACACGACCTGCACCACTGGGGACGTGCCCCAGGGCCTCACAGCTCCTCCGCTGGCCCATTCCTCGTCCTCACGAGCCCGTGTGGTGCTTGCCAACAGGACTGCAGGGGACCGATAGGAAAAGCCTCCCTCTGAGGGTCTCCTGCTGCCGTCCCGAGCTTCAGTGTAGCTGGATGCAGACAGGTCCCTCAGGGAGGAGAGGTTAAAATGGGTCACTAAGGTGGTCCGCATGAGCAGACACATGCAGAGGAACCACCACATGTGGACCCAGGGAGGACACAGCGTCTGCCAGTCAGGGAGGGCCGTCAGGAGAGGGCCTGCCYACCAACCTGGGCCTCCAGCCTTGGGAAGGGCATGGACATCCATGGCCTGAGCCTTAGGCTGAGGCACCCTGCCTGGCAGCCTGGGACAGCAGCCAGGGGGATGGCTCAGAGACAGGCCTGGTGCTAGAGGGGGAGGGTGGAGGCCCCAGGACGACCCCAAGCCAGCACTCAGGCACGAGCTGCTTCCAGAAGGCCACTCCACACAGGCCCCGCCGTGCAGGCTGGCCGGTGACTGTGTRCAGGTGACCACTGGGGACCAGCAGGCCACACAAAGAGCACCAGCGAGCAGCAGGGCTACCTACCAGGTTGATGTACACCTTGGGGTGGCCCAGGGCGCCCCCGCCGCCGTCACAGGAGATCACCCGGTGGTCCACCTCGCTCACAGGCTGCTCTGCTATCAAATCAATGGCGAAGTTTTCATTCACCTGGAACAAGAGGAAACTTAGCCAGGTGCACACAGCCTCGATCATCTATACCACGGAAGCTTGTCAACAGCACCCACCCAACCCATGCACCCGGCACACTAAAGATGACCATCGTAGTCTTTCCACACAGAGGAACAATTCCCTGAAACACAGCCACACGTCCACGTTGACCCTTCACATGGAATGCAAGGATTGGAACAGTAGGAAGAATTCTCACTCTGCCCTTGGCTCGGCAACTGCCAAGCCTGCCCCAGGTGCCCACACTCACTCTCCTGTCCCCTCCAGTGCCCATGCCCACCCTCTCCAGACCCAGAAGAGCACAGCTGGCCACAGGCCTCCGGGCTTTCTCGAGAGACCTGACAGGGAAGCTGGTGTGTGGCAAGCATGACCCCACGCATGTCAACACATACATCCACACCCACACACTCTCGCAGGCACAAAGACACCCACACAGACATACGGTTCAGAACAGTGAGTCCTGGAGAGAGCGCCAACTCCGATCTACAGGACTGTCTCTGCTAGTGCCCACCCAAGCGCCTTTTCCCACGGTGAGAGCACTGGCGCTCAATGACAGCACGTGCTAACCCGCACAGTCCCCAGCTGAAGGAACTGCGGACCCGACACCAGAGTCCAGGGGCTGCACCCCCACCCGAGGCAGATCCCCACCAGCATGTTACGGCTTCACAAAACGCAGAGCTGGCCCTGCYGCAGTGAGTCTCCCACCTCCCGGCTGATTCAAACACGTTTCCACACATCCAAACACACCTGAAGGGACAGGCAGCACCAGGCCCTCCRGTCCTCCCCAGCCTGGCAGGGAGCCTGCTCCACTTCACCAGGTGGGGGAGCGTCCACAGCAGGTCCTGACCTGCACACACAGGGCTCCTGCCGCCTCCCTCTCCATCACAAAATGCTGCATGCTGCCACCAACCAGCACCTCCTGGAAAGCAGTCCCCTTCCCCAGAGCCCCCTTCCGTAACAGTGCCCAAYGTGCCCTGTGTGCGCGGCCACTGACTCCTCCGCGCTTTCCATGCTTCTCCCTTAACGGCACTACATGAGCAGCCCCGCACACAGGTGTGCACAACAGGAAGTGTGTCCTCAGGGAGCACCGGGCAGTGGGCCCCTACGGCCTGAGGATGAACAGCACACAGAACTGTCAGACGCTGGCCAGGCTCAGCCCCGCCTCTGGGGGGCACCTCAGAGCAGCTCTGGGTGGTGCTGCTCTCCCTCAGGGTAGCTGAGAGCTCCGCCAAGTCCAGGTCTGCTGCCCATTTCCACAGGACTCTGGTGCCTTTTCCTGTGTATTTTAAAGTTCTTCATCATGGAACATCAGACCTTTATCAAATCAGGCTGTGACTGTCCCACCACACACCCAGTTTCTGACTTCCAGCGTGTCACCAGGACTCCGACATGCCTCTTCTCCAGGCGCATTCTAGCAGTGACTTGTCTAACTGCAGGAAAAAGCCTGGGGACTGGGCATGCGTCAAGCTGACCCGTTAACTTAGCCAGACACCCCGGACAAAGCTGAAACACGTGCACAAGAAAAAGGCCCTCGCCTGTCCAATCTACTCTGTGCCTCGGGGACCGGCCCTCAGCAGTGGCTYGGAACCGCGGCAGAGACCTTCCTCAGGGTCTCCTGTGTCTGCTGGCGAGTCCTGGTCTCCTCGTCCACCGCCTCGCCTACCAGACTAGTGTAACGATCCCCTGTGAAGGGCAGACAGACACGGGGTACAAGTGGGCAGACAGACGGGAGCRGAGAGGAGTCAAGAGGTGAAGAAGAGGAAGTGTCCGCTCCTCCCTCCTGCCCAGCTTATTCACTCAAAAAAGACCACCTATTACTCTTCACCGCGACCACACTCTGACCAGTATTCCTTTAACCCTGAGGGCCAACTGAGATCAGGTCCAGGTCAACACAAACAGAGCCTCTCACAGCCAAGGACGTTACTGTGGAAACCAGGTAGTGCACCCGCATAGTCATCTTAATAGCCTCAGGGGGAAACTGCTGGGCATTCCAATGCTGGGAATCAGGGCGCCAGTTGCCCCCCAAGAGTTTGCTCACTGGGGGACGCTTCCCTGCCTATTTCCATGGTCAGAATACCTACAGACTACTATGCACACTTACGATGGGACTGTTCCAATAAACCCACCACGACCGGGAAAGACCATCCGGCAGAAAATGCACCAACTAGCCCTGTGAGCTCACAGAGCAGCAAGGGCACACGCCGTGCAGTGCTTCACATGGAATCCTGTGGCCGCTGTGGCTGCTGTCTGACCACTGCCCAGCATCTTGGGGAAGACTGCATCCTGTCAATCAGTGGAGGAAAAGATCGAAACCCAAAGCATGGTTTCTGCTAAGTAAGGCCTCTGTACCAGGGTAAAGTCCACCCRTTGACACTGGCCATTCTGTGTGAGCCATACATTCTCTGGTTTGCAGGTTCTTCTCAGCTTTATCATGGATTCTYAGGGGTCTTCAGACACAGCACGTCACCTCCACATTAGAGTGCTATTACTTCCCCCACTCCCTCACCTGTGATGCTGGTAAACCGTGCAGCACATCCTGGGCTTCTGGGCCTCGATCCTGACCACAGGGGACATCACTGGCGTTTTTGTGGGACAGAGGTTCTGGGACTGAAGTAAAACAAGTTTCCACAGCAGGGAAACACGGTCGACCCCCCAGAGTCTCCAAACAGAAGCAGCAGTAAACTGCCAGGGCCTTTTCAGCAGGTGAGGATATGGCCCCTCTCCAGACCACTGGGCCAGTACGACGCTTCCACAGACCTCCTCGCACAGACTGCTGGGTCACCGTGCAGCTGGAGCACCTGCCGGCRTGTCACACAGAACTCCGCGCCCACGTCCACATTTATCCTTCTCTGTTTATTAGGCTTAAGCATCGTTGTTATTCTTCTCGTGCCTTAAAACATCTCAACGTGTTCCCTGAAGTTCTGCGCAGCTGTAGGGTTCCTGGACACCTAGCAGTTGGGTAGAATGTCCCCATGAACCACCTGGAAGGGCCATTCCTTGGCTTTAAGTTCTATGGACACTGGTCTGACTGAGCCTCCCACTCTCACTGGAGGCAATTCTGGTCACCGTGCCCCTGTCCAACTATCCACYGGTCTGAGTCCCTCTGACACCTGCAGAGGTGCACTGCAGGCGCTCACTGGGCCACGACTCCTCACCGAGATGGTTCACTCTGCGCCCACATCTGTTCTCTTCYGGCCAGGCAGTTCCATTTGACCGAGGAATGACTGGTAGCTTGGTGGCTTGCTGGGTTTCCTCGCGCACGCAGGGTTCACTCACCCATCCCGCCCGTCTTCCGCTCCACTGTTTCGCCAGTGCTCCCTTCTCCGCGCCAACCTGGCTCATGCTGCCACCCCTCACAGCTGAGCTGGGACCCGACCAGGCTGTGACCAGCACAGACCCTAKGATCTCCTCCTCGGTCGCCTGGACTTGCTTCTGTCCCCTGGGCAGACTGCTCTTCCTCTTGCCCCTATGCTTGTGCCCCGTACCGTGGCCGCTGTGCCCTGGGCGCGAGCTGTTCCCCAGTCCCTGTGCGGGGCTGTCAGCACTGAGTCTTCTCGGTCCGCTCAACGCTCTTCCAGCCTCAGTCCCACACTGCTGGGCATCATGCCCTCAACCCATCCTTCTGGTCCTCACTGGCTGGGTCAGTACACACCCTGGTGCCCTCTGAGCCCATGCTGCAGGAGTCTCTTGTCCACCACCAGGAGCCACAGACTGCAACAGAACCCACCCCACGGAGCACACAGTCGCTCTAAGTGGAAGGAGAAACAACTGGACAYACTGCAGGGCGTGAACGGGGACACCATGAGGCGGAGACACCAGCTACTGAGTGCAGGCACACCCTCCGCTCCTGTGAGCAGAAGATGAGGGCCCCGCCGACACACAGTTCTGTAACACTGGAAGGACACGCCAGTAAAGGTCACTAACAGGAGGCAAAGAGTCCAGGGGAAAGGGTTACGGTTAGGCTTCCTTTGAAACTTTGTAATTTCAATATTAAAACCATGTTTACGGTTGACAAAATTACAAAAATGAACATTWTTCTGTAAAATAAAAAGGAAACCTATGGACCTGGTATTTCCAAGGAACTTTAAAAGAAAGAAGAGGAAGGCCTCCAACAGGACACACCGTGAGAAGGGGGCACTTCCACGGTCTCTGCAGGTGGCCCTGCACTGGGGACAGCGGACGCGGAGGTGAGGCCAGCAGCCACAGCGGTCTCCCGACCCTGACCTCCCCAGGGCTGTCCTTCTCATGAAGCACGTGTCCTCCTGTGCCCACGTACACACACGCCTTGTCCCCCAGGAACAGCACCAGTGACAAATGAGCACCCCTGAAGCCCACACCGTGGCCCCTACACCCCACTTCACACCCAGAGGGCCAGGCTCCTCCAAAAGCGGCTGGTTCCAGGGTGGGAAGGACTTGAGATGAACCGGAGAGTGCTGCGGTAGACGAGGAAGGAATCAAGGATGGGGGGGAGAACCTCCCACGAGGGCTGGCGTGAGGACACGGGAGGTGGCCACCAAGCACTGAAGACCACGTTCTTGTCAGCACCTCCCAGGGAGTCGAGTGCCAGTCAGACACGGGAGGCCAGCGGGCACCTCTCCTGTTCTCCCTACAGCAAACTCGCTGGTACTGCGAGACGGCAGAACATCACCTCTCCCAGGCCCTGGGTGGAGTGCACATCAGCCACAGGCACGCTGACATGCGGGACGGACCCCGCCACCAGATTACAAGGCCCTCAGGACCAGAGCATGCCCAACGCTACAGGGACAGACCTCCACGGGACAGAACCGATTCCTAACCAGGGAATTCCTGGGAGAAGGACAGGGCAAGGAGAGGGGCAAGTGGGAGCCCGCAGACACAGAAGGGGCTGGAGACACCCCGATAACTGCAGTGTACAGGGCTTACTGGCTCMGAGTCAAACTGTAAAATATGGCAAAACTGACAGCATTTAGCACCCCACGGTGACAACACTGTCATCTACTGAAGTAAATAAAATTCTGTCATCTTCTGAAATGAATGCTGGCAAATTTGAAAGCAGTAATGTGATGCCAAAGACTTGCCCAGAGTTACCTGGGGCTGGCGGGGCTGGGAGCTGGCAGAGCAGAGCTGAGGCCGGGTTGGCCACCTGCCAATGACCTCAGCTGATGGCTGCTGAACCCGAGAGCCTGGGAAGAAAGAATCGCTGTACTGCTCCACTTCACGGTGGCTTTAACAAAGCAATCCAGCATCCTGGCTTGGTGAGCAGCCCCCCTGATGCCCCCAGTGGCCAATMCAGAAACCCGGGTGGGGCTGACCTCCCGGAGTGTCCATCCCTGACTTAACCGCCTCAGTCACAAGCCGGAACAGCCAGGAGACAGGCATTCTCACTGCAAGAAGCAGAGCCTGAGCGGTAAGAAGCCCACCACACGGTGCCCCGCCCACCCCAAGCCCCACTGAATCCACCCTTGCTCCTTCATGAGTCACCAGGCCTGCTGCAAGCAGGAGATTTTCCCTTTTCCAGGGCACTTCTTCCCGAGGTTCTGGAGGGCAAYGGTCATCCTCTGAACACAGGACATCCTGGTCATGAGCAGGAAAGGTCTATAAGGAGGACCTCGCCAATGACACCTCGTCACCTGATCTCTCCCATTCCCAAGCTCAGCAGYGGGGACCAGATGTGCCACAAAAGCCAGCTTAGGAGGCCAGAGGCTCCACAGCTGCTGCATACCACAGGGGACACACTGCACGAGGCAGCGTCCCACCCTTCCCACAAGCCATCAGGCCCACAGGAGCATGGAGCCCGACATAAGGTCAACAGACTGCCCCAGTCACTCTGCAAGGCCGGCTGGTAAACAACCTTGCTGTTTCCAATCGGGTGAGAACTGTAGTCCAACAGGGTCCTGGCAGTCCAGGGGCATGCTGGCCTCCACCCCTGCAGCCCCAMCTCCCACCTGCACATCTGGACTACACCAGGCAGACAGACCCTCGCCAGTACAGGGGCGGGGCTGAAAACAAGCCCAGAAGCTCACGACACGGGTAGGCAGCTGTGTCCACAACTACGGGGCCAGGGCTGAGGAGTCTTGTACCACTGCTGGCAGAGGCTGGCCGCAGAGAGGCAACGCCCAGTGCCTCTCACCAAAGCTCATGGAAACATGGCCTTCCAGGAGGGTTGGCGCTTCTAGGAAGACTTGTCAGTTACGGGCTACCACCGAGTGCAGCCTCTCGGAGAAGTCACCAGAAATGACGGTGCCCGAAGCCYACAGCAGCGCCCAGCAGCGGCCGGCCTCCACTGTGGCGCTACGGGCCCCTCGGCCACGACACCAGCTCCTTGCGGCAGGCCTGTAAGAAGGCGTGTTCTGCTCAGCCCCAGGCAGCGATGCCAGAACCAAGGGAGTGAAGCCGTGCGGTGCAGTAAYATGGGACACCTAAGTGACAACATGTCAGAGGCCACACTAACAAACCCCCGGGCCCCCAACACGCAGAGACCCACGTCTCCTGCGGGAAGGGCAGCTGGCGCAGGATGCTGCTGACACACGAGACTGCCCTCCTGTCACTTAGTGCGCAGCCCAGGGCGACCCTGACCCCCCATTATCAGCAGCTGCTCCCCAGAACTCAGCTCCATGCAGGAGTACGATGAAAACGCAGTCCACACGCCAGCCTGCACCACGCTGCCTCGGGCCCCCTGCTCTTCCAAGGGGAGCAGACGGGAGCGGCAGGGCACCACGGTCCTCTGAGGCCATCCGTGGACAGACTCACTGCTGGCCACTGCCACCCTGGAAATGACAACCCTTCCTCTGATCTGGGCATGCAGACACAATTCAAACCCCAAGCCCCAGATTGGGTACAAGTGGTGTYCTCTCCTGGTTCCTCTCTGGCTGAGCACTGAGGGTACAAGTCTCCCCATGTCACCCAGGTTTCATCGCCTTCTTCTGGGTGAGTTAAAGAAATACACTGCTAGCTGCCCCGCCCCTGGTTCTCTTGTGGCAGGCAGGTCCCCTGGGCTGAGGCCCTTGGCCTGGACAGTCCATCTGGGTTGACCAGGAGGCCCTYCCTCCCACCTCCTCTGTTGGGGCTGTAACTTTCCCGTGGGTCCGCCCCTTCAGCCGCCTTTCTTCCATCCTGGTCATTTTACCTTTAAAGCTAAACACTGTGTCCTGGAAATGGACCACGGGGATTTTCTATTACTCACAACAGAGTCAGGGCTGATCTTGCGGCTGCCTCRCAGAGAAGCCACCACCTGAACCTGGGTGAGTTATGGTTTGAACATTTTCTCTGGGTCCTGGGGGGCAAAGAGCCCTGGCTGGTAACTGTTACTCCTGACAGCCCACGCCCTTCTAAGATGGCGGGCCTGTGATTCGTATTCCTCGAGAGGACTCACTATTCAAGTCTTCTATGCCCTGGCCCAGGAGCTGCCCCACCCTGGAGACAAGTGACAATTTCCCACCCTGGTACAGCCTCAGYATGAAATCCCTTTCCTGCCTGAGTGGTCTGTGACAAACAGGGTGGAGGGAGCACTGCTGCTGAGCCCCTGAAAGGGACCCAGTCAGTCTCCACAGGGGCCTGAGGTCACCTTCTCCCCAATTTCTTTCTCTCTTACCAAGTCACACTGTGTTGCCAG